TATTTGAAGGTACAGGTTTGAGCATGCAGTTCCAATACCTAAGTGAAAACACAAAGCAGTTGGAGTCTCACACCATCTGGAAAGCCTTGGGAGCTTCACATTATCTTCACACCTGCCACAGAGAAGAAAACCACCCCTGAGTTTTAAAAAGAGAAGGAAGCCAGTTAGGTCTTGCTGGGCTGACCCCCGTGGGCAGTCCTGGCACAGCTCCTCACCCTGCAGGGCATGCCCTCTTCTCTGTTGGCATGCGCCCTTTGAAGAGTCTGATGGGGCAAAATCCAGCCCAAGGGTGAAAGATGCTGCCCTACTCCCTGCCCTCGATCATGAACCTCCTGCAAACACGTCATCAGGACAGACCTGCAAACTCCACCAGGGGGTTATAGGGCCTCTGCATTCCACAGAGCAGAGGTGCAAGCCAGGCCATAAACATGTATGCGTGGGAATCGTCACCAGGAATCCAGGAAGAAAACCCAACCTGCCCGGCGCTTTCCTCTCATTCAGATTACTACCCTGCAGCCTTGGGACTTGCAGGCTCATTATGCAAAGGCACATTCTAAACACCATCGTCCTAGGCAGCATCGAACAAAGAATTACACGGCCTCCATCCTTGTTTAGCGTGTTTCTGTCCTTCTTCTTGTCCTTCGGATTTTACACGGGCTTAAAGATATATGTGATGAAAGGCTTGATTTCTGCATGCGTGCCCAAACAACTGGGTGTATTCACAAAGGATGAACTTCAGGAGAAAGGTATTTTATTTATAGCACCACTGTATCACAATTTAATTTCCTTTTTACCATGGCAACGTGCACAAATTATGCATTGATGGACTCTCACCAATAAAATATATTTAGAAGCCTGATTTGGTGGTAGTGGGGGGGAAGCTGTAAATTGAATCTACCCAAATGCAGTACACATGCTGAAAATGGAAAACCCCAATCAAACGAATTGTGGTGGGTCTAGCAGAGAAGAGGGTGTTGTTTGGCTAGAGGCAGGAGGGAGGGGCTCTATTTTCTTTTTCCCAGGGTGCATTTAAAACTGGAGGAGTTCTTGGTTGCGATCCTAAGGCTGATGTCTCGGAATGAACGCCCAGCGTACCACCACGCTCATGTGTGGCAGTTTCCTTGCCCCTGGAGACTCTAGCCGTCTATCTGTCTGCCCTGGGAGGCTTTTCTGCAGGGTCACTTTGGAGGCTGGGAGTCGCTGTGTGTCTGTCTGGCTTCTTTATTTTCCTCCCGCCCTAAGGAAATCTTGAGCAGCTTTCAGATCAGGAAAGAAAACGGTGGCATCTTGAAGTAGCCATCGTGAGGGGTCACCCTCACGGTGCCCGCTCCTCTGACTGCCCGTTGAGTTTTGCCTGCAATACAAAGATTCTCGGAAACAGTGCTCCCGAACCTGGAGAGCCTGCCTGTCCCATCCACCCGGCGTCGTTTACAGGAGCTTTTGTGGATTGAAAACCGGCCAGAATGTGCACCACAAATGAACTCAGAATGGCGTCTTATCACAAACAGCCCTCAGCTTCCTAGTGGAGTCACCCATGCTTTCTGAACTTGAGTTCATCCACGGCCTCTGTCTTATGCAGGATTGTGAACCACCTTGATAGGGGAGCTAGATAAGCACCCAAGGAGACGCTGCCATCAGAGGGACAAAGAGAGGCAGCGTTTATTCTGTAACTCAAGAATGGATTCAGAGTCATCTGGACTCTGGGGGTGGCTGTCTGGAATTGGAACACATGCCACTGTTTTGCCGACACATCCCTCTGTTTTATTTCTGATGGTGCCAGTGGGCAGACGTGCCCCACAGTGGGTACGTGAGAGGCTCGGGTACCGGTGCGCCTCAGGGAGGGGAGTTTAGTCTGAGAAGATGAGCAAAGCCCGTGTCTTGACCTAAGTATGGATGGACCAAGGTGCTAGGCTTTCCAGCTTGCTTAAAAGTCCTTTGTGAGGAACTGGCTGCGGTCATTTCCTTTAAATGCCATATGATCGCTTCTCCTGGAAGCGCAAAGGGGAAAACTTAAAAAGAAAAGAGCTCATCTGATGCATCAGACAGAACTAATGGTGGTTTCCGTAGACGGGACAGCCCTCTTTGGAAATACACAACGTTTGCTGCTGTTGTCTGCACTTCAAAAAGTTTGTGGGAAAATTCCATCCTATTTTCCTTTCCCCACGAATGTTCTGAACCCCCTTGTATGCACAGCAGAAGGCACCCAATTCAGCAATTGGAATGTGCAATTCGGGGACATGGATTCCATCACCCTTCTCACTCTCCTTTCCTGAAGGGTCCCTCTGCCATGAACATACACCTGCGGTCCCCAAGTTGTCTATGTAATGAATACCTGAGTTTCTGCGGTCAGTTTGAGGCCATAGGCAGACCTGAAAAGAGCACAAGGCTCAAGACAAATCATCTTTACTGGTTAAGCTAAGCTGTTGTTTGCTTTGAAGAAGGGTTCAGAGTATATTCCTGGTTTAAGGTTGAAAGGGGAGCTTAGAACTATCGTTTCCGGTGTCTGTCCAGCCTCCAGGGCTCCAGCAAGTCTGGATTCCAGGAGCACTTGAAATTCTCTTCTGCCCGTTTCTTTCCTATTTTGATGAGGATGCTGCTGTAGGATCTCTGGTCCAAATGTTCCGCCATGGTGGCCGGGAACCATCGAGTTCTTCTGGTCTCATGGCTACGGGGCCATAGTTGACAGAGACAAGTAGCCACACACGCCATGTTTTCCTCTGATTCCAACTCTGTCTCCCTCACTTGTATCTCTTTCAGTAGGAAAAAAAAATGTTTCTAATGTGAATTTTTTTTTCCATTCCCCCTTTCTCCCTCTGCCTTCCCCTAATCCTCCTGGTATCTCTACTCTCATTGTTGGCCCTGAGGGGTTTATCTATCCTGGGCTCCCTGTGTTGCGGACCTTTATCTGTAGCAGTGTGCATGTTCTGGTCTAATCTGATTTGTAAGGCAGAATTGAGGTCATGATAGTGGGGTGAGGAAGCATTAAAGAACTAGAGGAAAGTTATGTGTTTCATTGGTGTTATACTGCACCCTGACTGGCTCATCTCTTCCCTGTGACCCCTCAGTGAGGGGATATCCAGTTGTCTACAGATGGGCTTTGGGTATCCACTCCATGCCACCCCCACCCCATCCACCTTGGTTATGATTTTGTTCTGGGTCTTTGATGCCTGATACCTAATCCAATCGACACCTCATGATCACATAGGCTGGTGTGCTTCTTCCATGTGGGCTTTGTTGCTTCTCAGTGAGGTGGCCGCTTGTTTTTCTTAAATGCTTTAAGACCCGAGACGCTATAACTTTTGATAGCCGGGCACCATCAGCTTTCTTCCCCACATTTGCAGAGGGTGGCACCCCATCAGACTCCATTGGAAGGCACTCGTAGAGGCCAACAGACAGACCTTGAACTGTTTATAGGCTTTTCCATTTTTGTCAGTGGCTTTCTTTACATTGCTGTTATTTGGGCTTTGGATTTTTTAGTTGTTGTTTTTGTTTTGTTGGTTTTGACTTCCTTTGTTGTTTTGTTTGTCTTTGCCTGGGTTTTGCACTTATTAATGTCTCTGCATATCTAGCTAGATAAGACAGGCAGATAAATAATTCAGAGATGGTTCCTGGGGCATACGGGAGAGGGGGAGGGGGGAGAAAGGAAGGGGAGGTGGGAACCAGCCCAGGGACAAGGGAACAACAAGGGAACTAAAATCAATGGAGAGAAGGGTGTAGGATGCCTAGTGGGGCTTGATCAAGGGCAGTGTAGCAGTGAGGAATTGCTAGACCCAAATGAAGGCCAAACATGATGGTGGGATGAGAGGACAGTGAAAGGAAATAGAGGAAAGAACCAGAAGGCAGAGGACATGTAATAGAGGTCAAGTTACAGGCATGCACACATGCAAATATATTTATATTTAACGAGAGGGGGTTAGATCTATGTATTCATATCTATATGTTAAGAACTAAGGTTGCAGATAGACATGGGCCTCGGCTCAAGTACTCCCTTAGCACAAGAACACTTTGTTCTAATAACCTGGCATTCTGTGATGCTCACCTTCTGACACAATCACTGAAGACAAAATGAGTGCATAAGCAAATGTGGTGAATTCATTTTTATGGTAATCTTTAAACATAGATGTGAATGTGTGTTTCCCTGCCTCTTTAAACAACATGGTAGATACCATTTATAGAAATGTACTCTACTTCCTGATTCCTTCAGGGGCTACTGAGCTGTGCAGGCCCACTGCCCTTTTAGTACACAGTCTCCCTGATGTTGTTTTCGTGAATGTAATTCCCAGCTCTGAGAATTCAAGGCTACATTGGCAGTTGCCTGGGGAAAACAAAAGAAATTCCCATATAGTAAGCTCATTAAAATACTGAATTTAATATTATGTGGACTATTTAATCAGTACCCTGTGCTCTACGGACAATTTCACAATTCATCTGTGTTAACCTGTACATATGTGTGTGTGTGTGTGTGTACACATGTTTATGTATATATTCTCTTCCTATCTCAAAAGCTTTTTTTCTATATTCTAAATACTCTACATTGCCCCCCTTCCCACATCCAGAATGGTCAATGTGGCTAGAATTCCGACTACCTACTTTATGAAATATTGCCCCATCTTGAAAATAGACTGAGTATATTTATCAATGGCAAAGACAGACCTTTTCCTTCCATCCTCAGTTTACCCCCTTATTCTCTACTCATTTCAAAGCCAAACAAACTATGGTGGTTCAATCCCCTCAAGGAAGCCAACCCCTCCCCCCCAAAAAGCAAGCTTTTGAAATCATTAAGACAGATGGTGCAGCATGAACACCACACTACACCATTCACGAATGTAAACCCATTCATGACAAAGCCTTAGTTTCCAGTCTGACTCCCAAGGGCACCCCACAGCTCTAAGTACAAGGAGACCCTCAGAGCTGCTTTTTGATTGTGCTGATGTACCAGCCTGTGTCACGATGTATTTATGTCTCTGTGCATTTGTCTGCATTCTCCTCCTCCCTTGTAGGTGGGCAGCATGCTGAAGACTCCCAAATTACCTATTTGGCTGTGCAACATCAATGGAAATTATAGCGTCCTTTTTAGCACCAACAGGCAGCTCTTATCAGACTGGAAAATGGAAAGGCTCTTTGATCTGTACTTTTACCGCAGCCAGCCCTCCCAGAGCCAGCCTGTGCGTCTGACAGTAGGTGAGCATTTCAGACTCCGGGCTCTGTGTGCTGTCACGGGCTCACAGGGATGGCTGTGGGTGCTGATGCTGAACACCTGTGTGTCTGTGCAGGCTGGCTCTGCAAGAAAATGCTAAGGCTCCATTTCTGAAATGAAGTTCATGGAGGAACCCATGGGCCTGAGCCCAAGTTGGGTAATGTGGAAATTCTAAACCTGCTTCCGATTGGAACGAGTTGGGGGTACGGCCTTGTAGAAGTGGAACAGAGAATCACACAACTTTTAGCTCAGAGAAAGAACAAAGGAGGAGACGTCACGTTTTCCAAAAGTCTTTTCCAAAGTCTTTTATCTTTATCCCAAGAAAAATGTTTAGGAAAAAGAAAGAGTGTAGGGTATCCAACCATTGACAATTCTATCCCACAACGAAACATGAGATGATTATCCTGTGACAGAAGTAACCAAACTGCTAGTGCATGTCTGTTTAAATCAGTCCAGAAAGCAGCATAGTAGTTACCTGTTGGGCAGCTAACCACAAGGTCAACAATTTGAAGCCACCAGCCTACTCCTTGGGAGAAATCTAAGATTTTATATCCCCATAAAGAATTACAGTCAGCTGCCTGGTGGGGGGGACTTTTGCGCATGTCAAGTGGCTCGGCCAAGAACCACTGAGGTGGAAAACTCCAGCCCCAAATAAAGTCTGGCCTGTCAAAAAAAAAAAAAGAATTCCAGTCTTGGAATCCCATTGGGCGGTGCTACCCTGTCCGCTAGGGTCCCTGTGAGTCAGGATTGACTCAGTGGCAGTGAGTCTGGTGGGTGTCGGTTTTGTTTTTTCACTAGGCACTGGCCACTGGGCGAACAACGTGATGGAGAAGGCCCCATAGCAGAACCCAAACCCATTGCCCTCGAGTCAATTCTGACCCATAATCCTAGAGGACAAAGGAGAACCGCCCCACGGGATTTCTCAGGTTGTAGGTTTTTCTGAAAGTAACCTGCTGCATCTTTCTCCACGGAGGGATGGGTTCAAACTTCTGACCTGTTGGGTTAGCAGCAGAGCGCAGTAACCGCTGTGCCATCGGGACTGAAGGAGAAGGCGCAACCCCAACAAAACTCCAGGGGTTTCTTCCAGTCCGCTGGTGAAGCAGACAATCAAACAGGCCATTTCCTTTCTATTCTAGCCATTCTGTTTTCAGGCTCATGAGGGGAAAACGACTAAACCTAATATAACTGAACACTGGCCCTTTGGACACAGGGGTCGAAGTGGTGACATGAGGACTTCATCTCACATAACCTTGGGTCAATTTATGGAGGCTCCTGTCTGGTACTTCGCATGTACCATCACAGACCTGGCTATAAGTAATGTTCACTGCTACGCCTAAATTTGGGGATGGATATTAGTGGCCATTCTATCTGTAAAGCTGTTAGTTCTCTTCTTTAAATATGAGAAACATATATTAACCTATTTAATTACATGTGACATTGATAATGAGCAATAAGTCTGAAAATACACCACACTGCACCATACTATGCTATAACACATTATACTATATAGTACATTATACTGTGCTGTAATTTCTACCCCAACGCTTTGAGGAAAGCACCATTTAAATAATTATGATTAGCTCATATTCAACAGATGCATCATGTTCCAAGAACAATGCAGACACGTGTATATACATTGTCCCATTAAATTCTCACAACGGTTATATGAAGTGGTTACTATCATATTTATTTTTGAAGATAAAATAATTGGAAGATTTCAGTAAATAATTATCAACTGCATGAGTGAGTTGATAATTAGAGGGGTTGAGTACTCACTCAAATAGGCCTTGAACCCACATTGTGACTCCCTCTCGGTTCTTGGTAGTCACCTAGGTTACATCTAAAATGCACTCTGTACTCATAGCAAATTAGAAGAACTGCTGAGCCTTTCCTTCTTCTGGGTGTCATGACAGCATTTATGACCTTCAGCTGGCTCTAGGCGCCTCATCATGATGATCTAAGTGCATTACACGACTTATCAACATTCATGCCCCAAAACACAGAGCAACCCCAGTTAGCACAGATGTATTTTGCAAGGAGCATTTAAACAGATCATCCCCTGGAATCCCCTTCAGCTTAACCATTTCTAGGAACATAGTTTGCTGAGCCAACACCTACCCACTGTTTTTTGGTTGTTGTTTTTTCCCCCTCCTTCTTAACTCACCTGATTGTTCTCGAAGAATGTCCATAAATGTGGATCCAAATGTCAGGTATTCCTCCCTCAGATACCCACTCCCATCACTGGGAAGAGGACCAGCATGGCACAGAATGGCGCTTTTCCCCAGTGGAGATGACAATCAGAACCAAGTGGAGAGAGGCCACCGTCCACTGGAATGGCTCTGTCCCCTTTTTCTAGCAAGACAGGATTCTGAAGAATTGGAACGGCATGCTGGGGCGCAAAAGTCTAACTGGAGACCGTTTTATTTCTATATTCGACACCCCAAAAACACCAATGTGATGGTTTTGTTTTCTTTTCTCTCCTGGTATGCCAGGTGGGCAAGGTGACGCCTCTCTCGGCACTTGGGCCAGTTCTTTCACTTTATTTGAAAAACAGAAAGAATCTCTCTCCTGTGTGTTATTTCCAAGTGACTCTTTCCTTGGCATCATTGTGCCCAGGGATTGTGATTACAGACAGCTAGTTATCATTTGAGGATGAAGTCATTAGCGGTGCATCACCAGATTTTTAGTAATGGCAAGAATTCGAGCCTTCCCAAAGACTTCCTGGTACAGAGCACATTCCTTTCCAAGGACACATTTTCACATGTCCACATGTGCAAGTTCTTAACATTAATAAGGGGCTAAAGCGTGGCTTTTTCTGGTGGGCTGGCATCTAAAGCAGTTGATGCGTGGGTTAAAGAAGTCAAGATGCGGAGGCAGGAGGGACATTCTTTTTATCGATGTTGTGTTCTGTTCTTCATACCCTCCATATAAAAGTACACAGGAAAACAGAGAAAGAATTATGATTCCTAGATAAAATAAAGTTATTAAAAATAAGATTTCTTCTATGTCATTGTGAAATAGGAAAACAATACTTTTCAAAATAGAACCTTTCTCTAGAGCAGTGGTTCTCAACCTTCCAAATGCCAATTCCTTCCTAATTCCTCATGTTATGGTGACCCATTATGTGGGTGTATCTGCATGTGGGTGAACCCTCCTGGAGACGGATAGAGGAGCGGTGTCTCAGTTCCTAAGACCATCAGAAATATGGTCTAGGTGACCCCTGTGAAAGGATCATTCGATCCCCAAAGGGGTCGTAACCCTCAGGTTGAGAACCTCTGCTCTGTAGTGTTAAAATGTCTTTTTTTTTTTCCTGAAGAGACACAGAGCAGGCACACTGTTCTTTCTAAAGGAAGAATACAACAACCATCTGGACACTGTTCCTGCCTCCTCACTGGCCTGGCCAGTCACAGGCTTCGCACTTCGTCTCTCAAACCGAAGGTTAGCTTCCGAAGAACAAACTTCCTGTTCTCATGGTCCGAATGAACTTGTTAAATGCATCTTAACCTGACTCAGAGAATAAAGAAGGTTTTCACTGAAAGAGGATGAAGAAAATGAAACCGCAAGGTGAATAATAAATTATGTCAACAGAGAAACCCAATTTGACTCAGATTGCTGCTTACAGTAACTAGGTCATTGGTGTTTTCAGTAGGGATTTTGAACACATTGGGACAAAATGAGTGGGTACCGACAAACCCTGGTCTTATTAGGTCTTGATCTTAGTAATAGTCATGTTTTCCTGATGTGCTGGCCTGTTGTTGTCTTTTATGAACCCTGACGTGAGCTTATAAACAGATGCTTCTTCCTGAGTAGATTTCTGGCAAGATTAAAGCCAAATTAGAACCCAGAGCAAGTGCATCAGCAAAGATTTGTTCAGCCACAGGTAATAGGTCTCACACAGGGTCTTAAAGAATGGCCACCTCACTGTCTAACATGAAGTGCCCAGCCCAGGGGTCTTCAACGCTAATGAGTTACTTAGACGTCCTCTTCTAGTAGAGCCCCTTCATACTGGGGCAAAATGAGAATTCTACCAAAGAAAGAGCAGGATGCCGGTTGAGTGAGCTACCAGCAGGGTTTGCCCGGTCATGTGTGGGTTGTGTGCAAAAGTCCTCTTGTAACGGGCCTCATTCCTGTATGGTTGCTTCTCTTGCTCCCTTTTTTTTTTTCTTTAAAATTTTAATTCTTTCATAGTTTATGCTACCCTGCTTGATTTCACATTTTTTGTGTGTAATCTGTCCTAAATTATTCCTGAAAGAAGTATATAAATAAACAACATCACTAAAAAAGATGAAATCTATGTGTTTCACACAAAGGTACTATTTTGCCTTTTGATATTTAATAGTATTCATTGCTTTGTCAATGAAAATAGGCTTTCATTTTATTTTTTTAAACAGGCACCAAGTAAGACAACTTTTAAAAGCTGGAGACATGCTGTTTAAAAGTAACAAGCATGCACCTGGATCCATCAGTTCACTTAGAAACTTTCTAAGTGGTTTAAGAAAAATGATTTTGTCTTTTCAGCATATCAAACACAAAGCAGAACACCATTTGCGTAAAGATGCACACCATCTGTTACCGTTTCTTACCAGTTACCTAAACTTGTCATGTCTTTAGTTGGACTGGTAGGTATCTCAAAACTATTGTGTGTTCTTAAGTGAGCGAGTCACTCAAGCTTATACTCTGTGGTGCCACAGACTACCTGTGACAAGGCTGAGGGGCAGGCAGGCCTGAGAGAGGGTGTTAGGTAAGGTTCTCTAGAGAAACAAAACCAGGACACTTATGAATATATAGATATGGAGAGGTTTATATAGCAAGAAGGAATTTAACAGCTAATTGATCCACACAGCAGCACAGAGGGCTCAATTCAACTCACTTTTGTGGAGCAGCTAATATACTGAAGGTACTTCAACTCCTGTGGACTGCCAATCCAAGGTCAAGGAAACAGACAGCAGAGTCTGCCCTCAAGCAAGACAGGCAAAGTCAGCCTGCAGGCAGCAGGGTGGGGTAGCAACAGTTACATAGGGAGCATAGTTCAGTAACTATGGAGCATAGTGCACCAAGTCTAAAGTAACTAGGGAGTACAGTAACTAGGGAGCATAGTGCAGCAAGTCTAGAAGAGCCTCAAGCTCTAGCGATGCAAGGTCACAGGATCCATGGGTTGGTTTGACTCACGGTAGGGCAGCACACAGTTGAGGCAAAGGACTAGCTCAAGCAACAGCATGCCGGTCAGATTACCAGGGAGAAAGAGAGACTGGAAGTCGGCCTCAGAAAGCATTTATCTCGGACAACCTCCAATCAAGTGTCGACCTGATTAAACTCCACCTACATGTTCCTCTGGAAGCCTGGTTGGCACAATAAATCTAAGCACCGCCGAGGCCCTTCCTGACATCTATGAAGAGCAGCTAGCAGGGTTGGCTTTGCCCTTTTAGACAATAAGCAACTTTGAGTCTCACTTGAACTTGGCTATTTATAAGTGAATAACAAATTATGGGTATATGAGGAGGCTTCAAAAGGCTAGTGGAAATTTTCCATTATCTTTTCATTCTATTTTTCCACAAGCTTTACAAAGCCCCTTCCTGTACTAGTGACTGTCATAATTGCCTTGCCAGGTCTGAGAGGCACAGCGATTCACTCAGTGAATCATTCATTCTTTTGGTCATTCAGTAACCATTTTAGCATCTCTTATGTGCCAGGCGTGAATTCCTTGGTGCCATTTCAATGGTTAACTGCCAGAGTACTAGCCAGGAGGATAGCAGTTAAAACTCACTCAGAGATGCCCCAGAAGACGGGTCTGTGATGTACTTCTGAATCGCCACAGCTTGGGAGACCCTGTGGTACCATTCCACTGTGCATGTGAGGTCGCTGTGATTCAGAATCAACTCCAGCTAACAATGAGGTGCCAGGCAGTAGGCTGGATGCTGGGGAAACACAAGGGGCAAATCTAGCCCCTCTTCTGGTGTGGAGCATGGGGTCTTCTGAGGAAATGGCATTAATCAAATAATGGCTTCAGTGAATGCAAAGATGAAAACTGAGGGAAGTTTCCAGAGGGAAGGGATTTCTGATGTAAAGTCTTATAATAATGGATGTGAGGACTTATAATAATGGAAGCGGCTTCTCTGAGAAAGAGGCATTTAAGCTGCAGTAAGGGGGCTGAGCAGGAGATGAGTAGGAGGAAGAAGAGGTGGAGCTCATGGAAGCCCTGGGGTGGGTGTGCCTGAGGAAGAAGAATCAGACCAACCGGGCCGGAGAGAGGTCTGAGAAGCAGCAGAGAGGCAAGTAAAGGCCTGTCATAAAGCCTAGTAGTAGGTCATAGGTGTGTGAAATCATGTTGAGGGTTTAAGCGGATTAGTAAGATTTTCGTTTTGAAAAAAGGCCTCAGACTTAAGTGTGGAGAATGGATTGGAGAGACCAGAACAGAAGCAGAAACTAGTTAAAAGGCACGGCAGTTTTCCAGGCTGTGGATGGTCCGACAGAGTGGAGGCAATGAGTGAATTAGACCAGTCAGTGGAGAACTACAGCGGAGGATAAACGAGAGATCTAATCTCTTCGCAAGTAGAGTAAGAATGACCTCTAGGTTTCTAGATGGATAGCTTGGGAGGCTGTGCTTTTATTAGATTTGAAATTCCGTGAGGAGCTGAAAAGAATGGCAGATTTGGGAGGGAGGAAATCATATGTTCACTCTTAGACATAGAGAAGGCGGCGTGCTTTTGAAGCATCCAAGTACAGGAGGGAGAATAGGGGATTCGAAATAAGGCTCAAAAGAGAGGTTTGGACTAGAGAAATACATTAGGGAGTCACTTATGGTAACCAATGTAAAGGCCTTAGGAAGCATTGTTTAAGAAAAGTAAGAAGTCATAAGAGAGCTGGAACTCAAACCACACCTTGAGGAATTCTGCCATGATTATCCCAATAGGGAATGATGTATCTGAAAAGGAGGCAGAGAAGCAGCAACTAAAGAGACATGAAGACAAACAGAGGTGAGTTGTGTGTAAGAGCCTGATCTGGTATGAATTTTGTCCCATGAATGAAGAAGGAGGAGGAGAAGGAGAAAGAAGAAGAAGAAGAGTCTTGGGTGAAGAAAGAAAGGCTGTCTCTACGCCACCGTTTCCTCCTTGAGCTGGTAGTCTTTGACAGGTCTGGGCCAATAGTTGGGGAACAGTATCAAGTGATCCATAATGGCAGATGATCAGAAGTCCAGAGCTTTGACAGCATGGCTAGGAAACATAAACGTTTAGATTCCCCAACACTGTGATCCGTGGTGTTTCATTAAGATTTGTTCAGCATCCTAACCTGATAGTCATGATGCTTTGGAGGACTAAAAGAGGGATCTGTCTCATGAGAGGAGAAACAGCCTCACAC